AGGAGGAGTCCAGGTCCTGCAAATGGCTTTAATAGGTTATCGAATGGTGCCGCAGATAGAAACTCTTTTGCATCAACGAATGGAACCATATCCAACGCTACCGTCGACTCACCACGACCAATCACGACGAGTGATAGTGAACACCAGAATCGAATTTCGAGTCCCCAATCACAGCCACATCCTCACAGCACAGGTCCATTAACTTATCAATCACCTTTATTACCTTCGACTCCAGTCCCTACTAATAATTCATTACCTATACCCGAAACGCCAGGTCGTTCTACAAGTACTTCACCACAGCCACAACTACAACCACAACAACCACAAAGATTTTCTTCTCTTTCCTCACCTCCAACATATCCACCGCCCTCTTCACCCTCACAAAACTCCCTTCAGCACCCTGGTTCTACTCAGTTGAAGCATCGACATACACTAGAAGTACCTAAAGTTAGTTCGGGTAGAAATTCAAGGGATGGTAGTGACGCGGTCTTTACGAGTGGAAGATTCTCTCCAACGTCGGTAGCTACAGCAGGTGCTAGACGTGGATCCTCGAGTATCAATAGACGCAATACACAATCGATACATTCTAATATGCCTCACGAGGAGGTTCCTCCGGACGAAGATGCACTTAGATGGGCAGAAGCTGTACGACAGAAGCGTGCGAGTAAGAGAAGAAAGAAGGATGAGGAAGATGATGATAGAGTGGTGGTGGGAACGAAAGTTGATCAAAACCATGTCAATTGGGTTACGGCATATAATATGTTGACAGGCATTCGTTTTACCGTTTCGAGAACGAACGCGAAGCTTGATAGACCATTAACTGACGCAGATTTCGAGGCCAAGCACAAATTCTCGTTTGATATGTAGGTTACAATCAACATGTGTGAAACGACTTAGCTAATACTTTACACAGTACCGGGAATGAGTTGACCCCATCTGCAAAGTATGATTTCAAATTCAAGGACTATGCGCCATGGGTATTTCGAAGTCTTCGGGCAAGGTTCAAGTTGGATCCTGCGGATTATCTCATGTCCTTGACGAGTAAATACATTCTTTCTGAATTAGGGTCACCCGGAAAGAGTGGAAGTTTCTTTTACTTCTCGAGAGATTATAAATATATCATCAAAACGATTCATCATTCCGAGCATAAGTTCTTGAGAAAGATTTTGAAGGATTACTATCACCATGTGGAGGATAATCCCAACACACTTCTATCTCAATTTTATGGACTTCATCGAGTGAAGATTCCTTATGGAAGAAAGATTCATTTTGTGGTCATGAACAACCTGTTCCCACCACACCGCGATGTCCATCAAACCTTCGATTTGAAAGGGTCAACCATTGGTCGAGATTTTAAAGAGGAGAACCTAGAGCAAAACCCCCGTGCGACGCTCAAGGACTTGAATTGGCTTCGACGAAACCTTCACCTGGAATTTGGGCCGGAAAAGAGACGAGTCTTCTTCGAACAAATGGAGAAGGATGTAGCATTATTGCAAAAACTGAAGATTATGGATTATAGTATGTTGGTCGGAATACATGATTTGACCAAGGGGAACGAAGAAAATCTACGGGACAAAACGTTACAAGTCTTCCAACCCGGGGGGGATAGCCCAGTAGATGATTCTGGACCACCTGGACCTTTAATGAGAACGCCGAGTAAATTGGAGAGTGCTAGGAAAGCTAGAGAATTACGCCAGATCATCAAGCAGGAAAAGCCAATTCCAATGGGTCAAAGCAGTTCACGAATGCCGGATGAAATTGAAGAAGAAAACAAGAAGGATTTCACGTTCTATAGTGATGATGGCGGATTTCGAGCTACACATGAAGATAATACTCCTGGAGAGGAAATTTTCTTCTTGTCGATTATTGATTGTCTGACTCATTATGGCACTCTTAAGAAACTCGAACATCTTTTCAGTAAGTCACCTTGATTTTGTGGTAGTAATCTGAGCTAATACAAAAACAGAGGGTCTCAAGCATGATAAGAAATTGATTTCTCCAATTAACCCTCAACCTTATGGCGACCGTTTTATCGAATTTATTGAGGGAATTACAAAATCTCAAGAAGAAGCCGCTCGAGAAGAAGAGTGTCCTCTCCCACCCGTACCCCACACAGACTCCAACCTTACCATGGGTTCTACACGTCGACGTTCAAATAGTGCACATATGCATCGTACCGTCACAAACAACACTACCATTCAACGTGCTGAAAATGAAGCCTTGAGAACTGAGCATGATGGAAGACGAGAGCATATCGAACCTAGAACCGTATCGACAGTTAGAAGCCCAAGTGCGGAAAGGACAAATGGACTACAGGGACAGATCCTTCCAGTTGTTGAGGAAATGGGAGAAGCGAGTAGTACAGGAGGAAGAAGTGGAAGGAGTATAAGGAGTACACATGATGATGATGATGAGAGAAGGCCAGCTACGCCTGCCAAAGATTATCCTCCCAGTTTGAATGACAATCAAGGAAGACCGCAAAGTCTAAGGAGGATGATTAGTAGAAGTAGCTTGGAAAAACAATTACCGCCTTTGCCGCCAAATGGAAGAGGGGTGGAAGAGAAAGATTCTGGGATTGGGATAGGGAGATGATTTGTATAGGCAGGGATTGTTTAGGGATGGATACACGAGGAGTGAAATAATACATAGCAAGTTGATAAGGAGTAGAGTTGGGACAATAGTCAGTAGGCGCAGCGCAGTAAGTGGAGGATAAGATAAGATACCATGATACCATCTAGCGAATCGCCTTTTTTACTTTCCTTTTACTTTCTTTCTCTCTGGGAGGTTTTGGTGGGATGGGAAACTTTCATTGAATCTTAATCACTTTTTTTTTCTTTTCCTCTGCTTGCTTTGAATTTTTCTGGGACTGCAATTGACTGGCTTGGTTGATTTGGAGGATCATCATCGTATTCGTAGTTGAGTTTCTTTTGTGTTTGTTTATTGTGGAGGTGGGTTGAGGGGAAGGGAAAGAGGAGAAAGGAGAGGGGGGTTCGATGAATGAGGAAGGGGGAAGATGGGGGGATGGAGTAGGAAGGAAAGATGGATGGATGCATGACACAATCTCTACTATTGTTTGTTTCTTTGAGTTTGAGTTTGAGTTTGAGTTTGAGTTTGGTGAGATGAGGTGAAGTGAGAGTTGAGGGTAGGGCGAGAGGAGGGAGGAGAGGAGGGAGAGCAGGGAGGAGAGGAGGGAGGAGATGAGATAGGCGGAAAAAAAGTTTTGTAGATAGATTTGGTTATGCTGTTGTTGATGTTGTTGGTGGTGTTGGTGTTGGTGTTGGTGGTGGTGTTTTTGTTGGATGGATGGATGGATGGATGATAGATCGTTGAGAGAGTGGATAAGGAATTAAAACAATAGTTGAATATTGCTGTTGGTGTTGCCCAGGTGGTGTTGATGAGATTGATTGTGTTTGTGGTTGTGGTTGTGGCTGTGGTGTAAATTGTGTAAATTGGATGGATGGATGGATGGATGGATGAGTGTATATAGGGGGTTGAGGAAGGGAAGGGGGGGAAAGGGAGAGAGTAGGAAGGGAGGGAAGGAAGGAGGGAAGAAGGGAGAGTGTAGATAGGATTGGATGGAATAGGATAGCATAGCATAGCATAGCATAGCATAGCACAGGATAGGATAGGAAGTTGAATGAGAAATGGAAAAGAATTATATTTTTAACTTTTTTGTGTTTTTGGGGGGTAAGGTTGTGTTGTGTTGTGTTGTGTCTTGGGTTTTGTATTTTGTGAGAGTGAGAGTGAGAGGGAGGGTATGTATTAGAATTGTTAGAATTGTAAGTGTGTGGTTTGGGTATTAAGTATTAATGAGTAGTAAGTAAGTAGTAAGTAAGTAGTAAGTAAGTAGTAAGTAGTAGTAAGTAAGTAGTAGTAAGTAGTAAGTAAGTAGTAAGTAAGTAGTAAGTAAGTAGTAAGTAAGTAGTAAGTAAGTAGTAAGTAAGTAGTAAGTAAGTAGTAAGTAAGTAGGTAGTAAGTAGTAGTAAGTAAGTAGTAGTAAGTAGTAAGTAGTAAGTAGTAAGTTATTTTTATCTAGGTATAGGTATTGGATATTATTAGGTAATAGATATATAAAGTTATGGAAGGTGGGTGGATGGATGGATGGATGGATGGATGGATGGATGGATGGATGATGGATGAATGGATGAATGGATGGATGGATGAATGGATGGATTTGTTATATTTATATTTATATTTGTTGTACTCTTTCTTTCTGTCTTCCTTGGTGGTGGTGATGTTGTTTAGAATTTTATATACTAGGTAGTTGGTAGCTGGTAGCTGGGAGCTGGTAGCTGGGAGCTGGTAGCTGGGAGCTGGTAGCTGGGAGCTGGTAGCTGGGAGCTGGTAGCTGGGAGCTGGTAGCTGGGAGCTGGTAGCTGGGAGCTGGTAGCTGGGAGCTGGTAGCTGGGAGGGAGATGGGAGGGAGGGAGAGGAGGGTGGGAGAGGAAGGTGGTTGTGCTTGCTTTTTTGGGGTGGGGGGAGAAGGAAAAGGAGAAGGAGAAGGAGAAGGAGAAGGAGAAGGAGAAGGAGAAGGAGAAGGAGAAGGAGAAGGAGAAGGAGAAGGAGAAGGAGAAGGAGAAGGAGAAGGAGATGAAGATGATGATATGGTGATGTGGTTTCCCGATTAGGGCGTTTGTTAATGTTTTTTATTTATTTTTTATTTTATTTTTATTTTTACTTTATTTTAACTTCTTGTTGTTTGCTTCTTTTTTTCTTCTTTACTCACAACACTTTACTCACAACACTTCATTCACAATACTTCACTCACAACACTTCACTCACAACACTTCACTCACAACACTTCACTCACAACACTTCACTCACAACACTTCACTCACAACACTCCATCCATTCATCACACTGCTTCCTCCCAGCATACTCTGATTCACATACACGAAACGTAAACTCGAACTCTTACCTATTCATATTCATTATACTTGTTTTGCGTCTGTTGTTTTGCGTCTCTGTTGATGTACATGAATGTATATGAATGAATGTGAATGGATCCAAACGCTGGGTCTTTTGAGCTGGGACTAGATCGCATACTGAGGGAAGAGGACGGATTGAGTGAAGAGGGTGCAAAGAACTCGTTGTTGGGTAGATTGCAAGGTAGATTGCAACAGTTGGGTTTGGGAGGAGAGACGCGGACGGGGTCGGAACGGCGTGGGTTGAGCTTGCAGTGGGGGCAGTCGGTGCAGGGAGCTCAGCTACAACTATTAAATTCCTCTCAGCTACCGTCATCAATTCCAGCACAGGCTACCTTTCAAGGAAACTATAATCAGAGCCAAACATCCTACAATTGGGCACAGCCAGCACAGCCACTGGGATACCTCCCTCCTTCTGCATTTCTGGCGAGAAACTTCAACGGCTTGCCACTTACCGTTGGATCTCCGATAGTAGGAGAAAGGCGCGAGCCAGTTGAGGATATACAAAAAGAAATTCTCGAGCTTGAGGAACAGGTTGAACAAGAGTATAAAGAATTTTGCTATCATCGCTCGATACGACACGGCAGAAAAGTTAACCTCGATAATCTCAAAGAGTACATCGCTGTACTTGAACAGAGTCTGTTTAACACATGCCAACGAAATCAACAACTCCAAATCAAGCTCTTGTTCGGCGCAGATATCGGAGATCAATTCGAAAAGTTGGTTGCAAGACAATTGACACACGTGTTACCAACAATAGAACAGAGGTATTTGAGGCGTAATTGGAAGCCAATACGCGGTGGAAAACGTCCTCTACCCCGATTTCCACCTGGCGGTCCTATATATTTGAACAGGGCACCGAAACTATTCAAGATTCAAATCAAGATTGTGGTCAAAGTCTACACGATCCTCGAAGGTAGTTTGTGTGTCTGCAAAATTACCGAACAGGAATACGAACACAGCATTGACGTAGCATCAGTTCACGAACTACAAGAATACCAATTTGAAAAAGTTTGCACTGAAACCGAGTACTATTCTATTGGTCTTCCCGTCTATAATAGATTTTTGCCTACTACCAGAGAAGGGGTGAAGATTGCGGTTCGGAGCTTCGCTCGTGTTATAGAGAGATTATCGTACTTTTTTTGTTTTGATCCTCCATTGAGTCCAGACGCTGTACGTTTGGAGAACCCAGTAGCGAAGGATAAGGATCTGGGTAAGTGGATGGTACTGATTGTCCTGGGCCCTGAAAATGGACATGCTGGATCGATATTTATATTGACATACTGATTGACTCTTAGAACAATTTTTCCCTGTGAGCAAAGCCAGGACTGTATCAGTTAAGTGGAATTTCTCGTGGTAAATTAGTTACCACGCACTGTATTACCCATTCATTATTCGTTGTTTGTTTGACAAAATATTCAAAATGCATATTTGGGCTGGCTCGGGCTCGGCCAGTGGGAAGGAGACTGTTAGACGAAAAGAGAGAACACCTATTAAGACTGGCACAGTTCTCAGGAAGAGAAAGAGTAGTGCTAAACTTGGATTGGGCATGGATGGTTTGGCTTCCACTGAAGATATTGGGAAATCGAGTCCAGGTCCAAGTCCTAGAAGAGACTCGGGGATAGACTCTGTTATGGCATCTGAAGCCGATTCCGATGAGTCGATTATTACGGTTATTAGTGTTCTAACTTATGATGTTGAGGAAGATATGGTTAGGCCTTTGAATGTTGGGTCGCTGGATGGTGAGGGAAATCCCATTGCGATTGGGAAGATGGAAAGGGGTGCAAAGATGGTGCGGGGAGAGGAGATGGATAGGAATCTTCATGATGAGTTGGGACATGCATCGACTCTTAGTAAGTTAAAGGGGAAAGACATTGCGTCGATGAATATGGAATGTTCAAACGGAGAAGATACAGATGCCTTTTCTTCGTCATTGAAAGGTCTCAGTCGTATCATGGCGAGTAATGATAGGATGTTTCGAGCAAGTAGGGAGGAGGAAGATCGAATCAAAGATTCGGATAATAATATTTTCGCGAAGAACAAATCAGTGGGTACTAAACATAGTATTCCAGTGGGTTTACCACTACCATCAGACATCCTCGGCACACCTGCTGAAGATACACAAGCTGTTTGGCATGAATACGCGTTTTCTGGAAGCAAAAATGAGTCAGATTCTCATATCACATCAATTGCTAGCTGCACCAATAAGAATAGCTCTGAGAGTGAAAATGAGCTGGAAAGACTTTTCAGGACGGACTCGGTGCATACTTCAGAACCTGAGGTTTCAGATGGATATCTATCTCCCGAAACTTCCACTCCTATCAAAGTTAAAGAATTTGTTTTCGATTCCGAAAATGAAAATGATCCGGCATGTTACTCTAATGTGGAATGCGTATCAGATTCTGAAACCGAGCAAAAGGATAAATATCCTGATATAAAGTTTACTCATGAAATCGATATTGATTTGAATCTCGAAGAAGAAGAGGAAGAAAAAGAGCCGGAAAAAATCGTCAAAAATCTACATGAACAACTCTGGGATGAGATATCGAAATCTGTAGATAAAGCACTCGATGCATCGCAAGAAAATAGACGCAAAGAGAGTATCCGGGGATTTTCTCTCAAAGTACCTCGTTTGGTTCATGAGGCTAAGCAGGGTCTTTATCGCTCGCCTTCTCCTGCTCGTTCTAGCAAGAGTAATGAGATGGTGGGGGAGGTGAGTTCGCTGAGAGAGACGGAGTTTTGTGCGAGTGGACTTAAAGATTGTGGTGTGGGGGATGGTGATTTGGTAACAACTTGTATTGAGGGATTTGATGGGGATTACTCGGCTCAAATGCGAAGAAAAGGTGATCATGCGACTACGAGTCTAGAGGGGATTTCGAGTAACATTGGAAGTCCGATCTCGTTGTCTGTTATGGGGAGGGGAGGGAGAGATTCTCCTGAGACTGGGTTGACGAAAGATAAGGGTGGTTCGTTTGAGAATATTGGTTTGGATGATGAAACCTGCACATTGTCGGATTCTCCATGTCGACAAGTTAAGATACGTGTTCCTGGGGATGAGAATGATGGGCACTTGTCAGATTCTAAAGAAATTCGTGGAGACTCTGTTGAACGCGAGAATGAACGCGAGATTGAGGATTCAGAGCGCTTTTCGCCTGTGCATCAGAGGGTGATACAATTGATGACGCCTAAGCATGGTCGGTATCACACGGTGAGGGAGAAAGGTGGGAAAAACCTAGCGAGCTATCGGATGTTTGGTTCGCGGGTAAAGGGGAAGAATGCGTCGGAACTGGGGAGTGTTGCGATGGAGAGACAGGCTTCGCGATATCCGGCGAAAGAGAGAGCTTTCTCGCAGCCTGGTTTATTGAGAGCTGATCAGTCGAAGGATTCGAGTGGAGGTGGAGAGGAGGAATGGTTGTTGGGAAAGGAAGGATGTAGTGGGATTGAAGAGGAGATGGCAAAATTCTGGAAGGTGAATTCGGAGGGAGCGATGGCTCGATTTAGGGAGGTGATGGAGGGGATGGATAAGGAGAGTGAGATTGAGATTGAGAGGGAAGAGAGAAAGACATTCCCGGTGATGGATCGAAAGATGAAGAGGAAGATGGGGGATTTGGGATCGTGGGACTTCACGGCGGATGAGAATGGAAGGGTTTCGATGGGTAGTTCACAGGTTAAGTTTAGTGATGGTGAGTCTCTTTAATTGTGTTTGGGGGTTGGAATGAATGGTGTTGATAAATGGTGTAGCTCCTACGATTATACGTCGTTCGATGCCTCAATTAGATGGTCCTAATTCGCCACCATTACTAGCGGTGGAGTCTCCGGTTGGAAGTTCTCGCTCTCCATCTCCTCGTAAGAGACTGCAGAAAGTCAATCGGTCGAAATCGCCTAGTTTAATGAAGTCGTCCAGTTCTTCGCTGGGGAAGATTTTCCAGAATTCGAGGGTAGAGGGGATGGAAGGGGATATAAGGGATTTGAGGAGGGAAGTTGAGGAGTTGAAAAATATAATTGGGAGGTTGGAGAGGGAATTTGAAGGGGATGTTGATTTTGGGGGTAAGATGGGGGGGCGGTTAGGAGATAAATTGAAGGATGTTTGGAGTGTGGTTTATGGGAAAGATTGGGAGAGAGAGAGGATTGGCGAGGAAGGAGGGAATTGGATCAATTTGGAGGAGGTAGAGTGGATGAGAGAGGTTAGGGATATGGGATTATTGAAGATCGTGGGAAGGATGAAGAAGGAGAAAGATGTGGAGGGGATTATGCGTGCGGTGGATGAGATCTTGAAGAAAAAGCAAAGCAAATCGTTTGAGAAAGATCTGATGGTACCGAGTTCGATAAATCCTGAGCTTGGGGATGAGGATATTTCTATTTCGAAAATTTCGATGGAAAATCTCGGGAGTGGGGGGTTGGGAATAGATGAGTCTTGTACTACGATACCGCAGCGAAATATGGGAGACTTTTCCGCGAATGAGGTGGGGCGGGAGGGGGAGATTGCGGGGATGAAGGGAGAAAGATGGGATTTGAAGGATGAGAAGAGTGAGGAGTGCGATAGGGGGATGCTTGGTGATATTGGAACGCAAGGTTGGATGATTGGGAGGGGCTCGAAGGTATTGGTTTTAGAAGTGAGGGATTGTGAGTTGGTATCTGAGGTACCTTTGTGTGCGGGTTGGATTGGGGGTCAATCTGAAAGTAGGACTCAGTGTCCTTTAAATATACAAAAGTTTTCAGACCTGCCAAGTCTTGAAAGTAGTGAAGACATTGAGAGAGAGAGGATGAAGAAAGTGGAGGAGAGCAGAAAAAACGAGACGGTTTGTGGAAGAGTGACTCGGAATGAAAAGTGCGGAAAAAGGGGTGGTGATAATGAAATGGGATTGAGAGCACCTGATGAGGGCTTTAATAAGGAGTATAAAGCAAATCGGAAGGTGGAGGTGAGGTATGTTGATAGCGAGGGGAATTTTATGGATCAACGAGACGCTTTTCGACTTTTATCGAGTCAGTTTAAGAGCAAGGGAGGTGGTAAAAGAAGTGAGAAAGGAAAGGGGAAGGAGGGTGAGAAATTGACTGGAATTGTGGGAGAGGGAGTTGGTGTGATGGGATGTGAACACGGGTGTAAGATTATTGGGGGACGGAGATTGGATGATATGGAAATGGAGGGGTTGCTTGATGCTGAAATTCTTGGGGGAAAGGATACAGGAATGGAGAAGAGTGATTTCGATGTATCGGCGAAAGGAAATGGCAAGGGGGTAGGAGTAGAAAGAGGGGTAGAGGCGGAAGAAAAGAGAGTGGAATATTTGGTTAAAGATCTATTGACGAAACAGGAAGGAGAAAGACTAAAGAGGGAGGAATGGTGGGAGAGGGAACGGGAGGGGGATAAGAAGGAGATTCGGAGACTTGGGGGTGTTGTGGACGAATTGAGGCAGTTGGTTTTGAGTGGGATGGAGAAGGGGAAGGAGAAGGAGGGGGGAGGAGTTTATGGTGGTGAGAGGAAGATGCTGGATGAGGATGAGGATGAATGTGAGGATGAGGATGAAGATGAAATGCACGATTGTGATAAACCGGGTTGTTGGTGTCAACCGAGCGGAAGTGGAAGTGGAAGCGGAAGGAAAGGTGGAAAGAAACATGAATGTGGGGCGAGTAATGTGGCGAATATGAGGGCGAGGGATGTTTATGGGGATGGGGATGAAGATGAAGATGGAGATGGAGAGTGGAATTCTGAAGAAAGGGGAGTGGGAAATGGAAATGGAAATGGGAAGGGCTTTTGGGATTGGGTTGGTGGAGGGATTTTGTGGAGACAGGATTGAGGGATGGATTGAGGGATGAGGAAGATGGAGAAAAGGGGGGAGGGGAGGAAGATGTGTATGGGTTGGTCATTGGGGTTTCATCGTTTTTTGCGGTGTCTTATTAGGGGTGTGATTGGGATTGGGATTTGTATGAATAGTATGGGATGATCAAGTGGAAATCACTTTTGGGGGAGGGTGTGTTTGTCTGTTTGTTTAATATTCGATATGTTTAATGTGATGGATGAGTGGGTGGATGGAGAGAGAATGAACGAATAAAGCATAAGATGAGATGGTATTAAATGGTTTACGAGACTGGGTAAAGAGGGGGAGGGGATTAATTATTATTGGTATTGTTATTTCTACTCATTAGAGGAGAGTTGAAGTGGGGAGAAATGAAAAGTAGAGATTAGAGTAGAGTAGATGGATTAGATGGATCAGATGGATTGTTAGTGTTGATTGAAATAGAATAGAATCGAATAACACTTGAATGAATTATACTTGAGTGAATAATACATGAATAAATGGAGAAGGGATAATGAATGAATAATACTTGAATGAATGAATGAGTAATAGGGGTATAGAAGTATAGATTGGAATACTTTTTTTTTAATTTTGAAGAGAGAGAGAGAGAGAGAGAGAGAGATGGTGGATTAAGCGAGGGGGGTAAGGGGAGGAGTAAGAGGGGATGAGAGCTAAGAGGTGAGATGGGATGAGAGGTGAGAGGTGAGATGGGATAGGATGGGATAAGATGAATGGGATAGGATAGGATGAATGAATGAGATGGGATAGGATGAGATGGGATGAGATGAATGGGATAGGATGAATGGGATAGAATGGGATAGGATGAGATGGGATAGGATGAATGGGATAGGATAGAATAGAAATAAAAAAATCTTATATTATTTGCTAATCGAGTTTTCAAGTTTGAATGAACGGATGAATAGGGAGGGTAAGAATTAGATAAATAGATCGATAGATAGATACCTAGATAGATAGATATATGTATTTATATATCAGTGGAGATAAAACTAAACTAACCCGATATCTGTAATGAGGTCAATAATGTATTTGAGCAATTTATTGGATTTATTGTAGTATAGTGCATTGGATTTATTGGTAGCGAATCGATTTACTATGGTAGGTATTCATGGATGCTAGGTATATCTCAATATACCGCCAAAAGCAGGAATATATTATGCTACCTCCCTCCCTACCTACCTACCGTCTTGAACTCCGTTCCCTGTATTCCTAACATTCATTCATTTAATGCATGTACGCCTGTGCGCCTGTGAAAGTAAAGCAAACCCTGATGTAGCAAATAATACACGTTTCTCTCATCCATGCCAAAGTGTAGCTATGAATTAATAAGTTGAAAGGCTTATTAAGCAGTTCCTCTAGGCTTTGCTTTCGCCTTTGCCTTTTCCTTCTTCTCATCCTTGACCTTCTTCTTCTTTGCCTCGTTCTTCTCATCATTTTTACGCTTCAGATTTGCTCTCTCTTCGTCTGTCTTTGGGATTGGTTTGAAGAATCCCTCCAGTCTAGCTTGTTGAGATGATTTCAAATTCTTGGTGAGTTTTTGAGCAGCGCTGCGAACACGATCTTCCGAGAAACCTTTTTCGACAACGAGAAATTTGACGAGTCCTTCAATGTCGGGAGCTTCCCATTTGAAATCGCAATCCTCGTGGTCGGCGGGACGAACATCGGGTTTGAAGAATAGTTCACGGGCGTCTTGGTATGGCCAATCTTCGGGAAGGGCATAACGTTCTTTCTTGTCCGCAGTGATCCATGCGACTAGGGTTTCGAGATCGCCGTGTTCGCGAATGAGTTTAAGGGCGGTATGGGGACCGATTTTGGGTATAGGGTCGAGGTAATCGCAGCCGAGGAGGATGCAAAGATCTACGAACTTTGGATCATGTTAGTATTGCGCCATAGTCTGGGATAAGTGTAAAGGTTTCTTACTTGCTTGCGATCCATATTTAATCCTGTGAGAACTTTCTCCAAACTCACTTCTTGAATAGGTTCTTTGCGCTGTTCACTAAATGTGAGATGTCGAAGAAGAATAGGAGAATCGAAACACAAAGTATCCATATCCTCACTTGCTGCAGCATAAACCTTTCCTGCTCGAGCCAACGCAGCACATTGTGCCTCTGCCTCTGTTGGCGCAATGATATATGGAATACCCATCAACTTCAGCAATCTCTGACACTCTGCATTATGTTCCCTGGTAACTCGAACGGTTCTCCTTGAAAACTTCTCAATATCTTCTGCAGTACCAGTTTCCTTTGCTTCTTCAAGTCCTTCTGTTGCAGTTGCTTTGCGCTGGAAACGTTTTGCTAATTCGCCGGACTTGAGTTTTGGTGGTGCACCATCGAATACGTAGACTGGTTTGATCCCATTATCGACAATACGGAGGGTGCGGTAAAACATGCCCATTAAGTGAGAGGTAGTTTCGCCATCTTCGTTTGTGAGCATCTCACCTCCAGAGCGGACGGCAATGAGGAAACTATAGATGGACATGGATCTGAAAGATGTTAGTTTCTAAAAGGTGTAGATGACACTGTAGGAAGTACATACGCATCCTAGATCAAAGTCAGTTAATTGCGCAAATGTAAGTATAGAATGAATAGCAGCAAGGTACTTACAATCGCAACTTTTCTACCAAATTGATTTTTGATTTCTCCTTCTTTAACTGCATCAGGAGCTTCATCCTTGATGATGGACATCAATTGTTTAATACCCATGATTGCGGTGGTGTTGATGTACGGTTTGAATCACAAAATGTCAAGGAAGAGAGAAGACTTTGGATTTTGGATAGATTTTGGAGTTGACGCGAATGAAGTGCATGACGCGCGACCTTTACGCGTTAAGTGGTTCAAGCCTTAGGCAGCAGAAGCCGCTATAATTTCAGGCATCCGATCGGTTTGCGGGGGAAACTATGAGATGAGACTACCGGGTATTCACATCTAGGCGCCGCTTGAAAGACCTTTACTACCCGTGACCACAAAGTCAACTAACGATATATGATCACCGGTGGTTGTAAAGATTTGTCAACCTCTTTAGCTCATACTTTACACCTCTGTGGCTGATTTTCTCCATCTTCATACGGAATTATGGATTTACCGCATGGTTGAATCCTTACATGCCTGTCTGCGATACTTACAATGCAACATGTACACACGGATCGACAACCGTTTGTATCCGAACATGCCTCGGAGCTCCAAATTCAATTAAATGATGGCCCGGATTAGTTTATAACTTTAGTACATCTGGGGAAGTGTTCATACCCAACAGTCTCTCTCACGTTTCCTTCATCTTCAAGTGACAATACAATTTACTTGTCGAATCCAAAGATGTATAGACCTATATTACGAAATGCCAGTAGGCAATTGGCAAATGCGAGACCTGTAGCTATCACTACTAGAGGTCTTGCTGCTCATGCTACCCCGCAACCATTTAATTGGAAAGATCCTTTAAACGCACAGAATCTTTTTACAGAGGAAGAAATAGCGATTTCAGAAACTGCGGAGCAATATTGTCAGGAACGGATGTTACCTCGAGTTTTGCGTAAGTTTGTTAATTGCATGTTGGGGGCGCAAGCTAAAGGAGGGGTTGAATAGAGGCATATCGAGACGAACATTATGACCGAAAGATACTCGAAGAAATGGGAGAGCTAGGGCTATTAGGAGCTACGATCAATGGTTACGACTGTGCTGGTGTATCAAATGTTGCTTCGGGACTTATTACCAAGGCAGTTGAACGAGTGGATAGTGGATATCGATCTGGCATGTCAGTACAGTCTTCGCTGGTAATGGGAGGTATCGACGAATTCGGCACACAAGAACAAAAGGAGAAGTACTTGCCAAAATTGGCAAAGGGGAAATTGCTGGGCTGTTTTGGTTTGACAGAGCCGAATCATGGTAGTGATCCTGGGTCCATGGAGACAACTGCGAAACCTCATCCAACAAAGAAGGGCTATTATTCGATATCCGGAGCTAAGACATGGATCACAAATTCTCCAATCGCAGATGTATTCTTGGTATGGGCCAAGTTACAAGAGACTGGCAAGATTAGAGGTTTCATCATCGATCGAGCAGATTGTCCACCGGGGACGTTGGAAACACCTGCTTTGAAAGATAAAAATGGACTCCGAGCTTCTTTAACTGGTATGATTCAACTCGATGAGTGTCCAGTGCCTGAAGCAAATATGTTCCAGACAGTAGAGGGTCTTCGAGGACCATTTACTTGCTTGAATAGTGCAAGATATGGTATTGCTTGGGGTATGACAGGCGCGCTCGAAGATTGTATTGATCGAGCGAGAACATATGCCCTTGAACGAAAACAATTCAAAGGCAATCCATTAGCCAAATATCAACTCGTCCAGAAGAAGCTAGCAGATGCCGTCTCAGACGCGGCTTTTGGTACACTGGCTTGTGTTCAGGTTGGAAGACTCAAGGACAAGGGAGAAGCAGCACCGGAGATGATCAGTATGATTAAGAGACAGAATTGCGATGCTGCACTTCGAAATGCGAGAACATTACAGGAGATATTTGGTGGTAATGCTGCGAGTGATGAGTATGGTATTGGAAGACACGTTTCGAATTTGTTTGTCACCCAAACTTATGAAGGACAAAGTGATATTCATTGTAAGTTTTGCCTTGATCTTTGCTTATTAGTTGATGATGTGATTCAGATTGATGCTGACAAATGCATTAGGTTTGATTCTGGGAAGAGCAATTACTGGCATTCAAGCATTTTGTTGATTGAATTGGGTTGAGTTCAACGAGTTAGCAAATGGAAATGAGAAATGAAGCTATGAGATATTGGTTGGGCCATATAGAACTGGGAGGAGGATGGCCATCAAGGTGTCGGTTCTTGACTCTTGAAAAGGAGGCTTTTTTTTTTTTTTTTTTTGGAAAAGGGGTGAATAGGAGGAATAGATGTGTAGGAATTATTCAGGAGATACCTTGATTGAACAAAGAAATGTAAAGCAGAAAATCAATGTCAACAATGTCTTGAGCTTTGGTGAAATGGACCTCGTATATCTATCTTACTCATTATATCTTGTCTAACATGAAAAATGTGAGAATATGAAATACCTAGGTAGTCGAATACATTTGACTTCTCGAGGAGAAAAGGCTTTGAAATTTTGCCACGATTCGGATATTTTCGGGAACAGTGAAAGAAAAAGAAGAGAATTCATGTATGCTGAATGAAAGGTAGATATTTGAATGGATTGGTAAAGCTTATTATTATGTTTCGTGAATGGGGTTGAAGATACATTACCTAGGTAGCTGGAGGTACCTACCTAGTACTCAAGTAAATGTGGTTGATGGCCTTCTCTTCCATGCCATGCACATGTGAATTGTCATGGCTGTCATAGCCACCATCCACTGCGTGATTGCTCATGAATTGTGAAGAGTTGACAAGAAATTAGTAAGCTTCAAGTAAGTTCGAAGTGAATCCTTTAATTTCTGTGGTACCCGTGGACTGGTAGGTAGTTGTATGATTTGTTAATAAAAGAAGAGGAGTGAATAAATTTATTTATATCGTAGCTGAATAATTGTATGGGAGTATATCATAGGTATCATAGGTTGGAATGATATTTGAATAGGTAGGTATGGTGGTACTGCGCATTCATACAGAATCATACTGCACTTTTGCCGCTCCTTCGCCGCCCAAAATCGAAGCGAATAGGCCAAGGCACGAGGCAAACCAAAAGCAAAGGCAAAACGACGGCTGGCTGCCCAAGAACATTCACATTCACCGTACAGTTATGATCTAACACAGACTCACTCCGGACTCAGACTCAGACTTGCGACTTCTTCTTGATAATAAATACCTGGTAACTGAATTCAAGGAAAGATACTCCGTCTTTAAAAGAACTCTTCTTCCTCTTCTTTCTCTTCCTCTTCTTCCCATCTTTCCCCAAAGTAACCTACCAACTACCCACCTAGTATTCAAAAGAAAGAATACCCTCAACCGTCTCCTGTCTCCTCTCTCCTCTCTCCTCTCTCCTCTATCTACCCAAGGACAACAAAAAGTCAAGAACCTTTTGGTATGTACTCCATGATCTATCTTACTTGTTATTCCATTTAAAATCTCCCGCACTCTTTATTTCTCCATGTATTTGGCTACAATATCTACACGACTCTCCCAAATACATTGATTGATATAAAGATTTACCGCTTCTCTCTTCGTGACCATCTCGTACCCACAATCTCTATCCCCTTCCGTCATCTTCGGCATAGCCGCTCGCGTGTTTTTTTTTATGGGTGGTCGGTCGCTAACAACAAAATCGTGTCTACCAGAAATCCCAGCCCACTTACTCACCAGTCCATTAAACTACTGCAACCTCGAGAAATTCATCAACATACTCGACAACCCTTCACACTACACAACACCCTCCACACAATAATACATACTTCAAAATGGCTTTGAAGAGAATCAACAAGGAACTCACAGACTTGGGCCGGTATGTTATATCTCTTGTCCTTTTGGTCACCGCCACGACGTTGGAAAGATCTTGGTGGGGCTACTTCGTGAGCGGGGTCTGGTGCAGGATTATCCAAAACTTCATGACGGCGATGATATCTCGTATGGATGGTATTGGGAATAGTATGCTAATACGATGTTTGAATAGTGACCCTCCCTCATCATGCTCTGCTGGTCCTATAGGAGACGATTTGGTATGTTGTTCCTCCTTCAAGATTTGATGCCCCTTCGAGGCACAGAATACCTCGGAATGCGCTCAAGATGGATATCATGTCATGACAAGTAAGATGTATCGAAGAGAGGATACTAACATTTATTTGTTTCATTTAGTTTCACTGGCAAGCTACTATCATGGGTCCTGTAAGTTTGATCTTATCTTCAAGTCTCTTTGATCCGACGCCCTTTGGCCAACGATCTTTGAAATCTCGAATTTCATGAGTTATCACGATCATCTTTCAATTTACTAACTTCTTTGCCAGTCTGACTCACCATATACCGGAGGTGTCTTCTTCCTCGCCATCCATTTCCCTACCGACTACCCATTCAAGCCTCCCAAGGTCAGCTTCACAACCAGAATCTATCACCCAAACATCAACTCGAACGGAAGCATCTGTTTAGACATCTTGAGAGATCAATGGTCCCCAGCTTTGACTATCTCTAAAGGTATATTGTCACTTTCATTACACTTTGTTAAATTACCACTAATCGTTGATTTTAGTCCTTTTGTCCATCTGCTCCATGCTCACCGACCCCAACCCCGATGACCCACTTGTTCCAGAGATCGCACACGTTTACAAGACCGACCGATCTAGATATGAGGCCACAGCCAGAGAATGGACCCGAAAATACGCCATCTAAATTACCTACTATAACCTTCAAATTACATATGACAAAGCATGACGGATCGGAATAATGGATGGGTTGATGAATTTCCTCTGTGTTCTTTCTATCTCTTCTATTCTATCCTATTGCGTAAAGGATTTGCTGGCGTCAACGAAACTCGATGAATGGACAACTTTTTGGTCTGGGTTTACTTAGGTACTTTACTCTTTTACACACGAAATACATTACATGGCAGACTTGTGAGCGCTACTGCTTGGGGGGAATATTTTGCGATGGATTGGGGCAGAAATTGTGGGAGAGGCGAGAAAGATTTGTCGTGGATAGATATCGGAAGAATGCAATATGATGAATGAATGGATGGGTGGTGATGGATGATAAATAAGGGATGTGCTTGGGGAATTAGATGATCATGTTGCATGATGAACGGGTTGTCGTCGTCGTCACCGCCTTTTTCTTACTATTCCTCCTATTCTTTGATATTCAGGTCCATAGCATTACTCGGAGCTTTTCTTACTTTGTGATTTGCTGTTCCTTCTCGTTTCGTGATGCAACGCTTGGGGAGGGGGTAGTTGTGAACGAGTGAAGATGTGAAATTTGAGACATGGTATTGGGTGTGAAATGTGATGTAGGTGAAAGAATGTGGAATTTGATGGATATTTAGTATTATCCATCTGCCCTTCCGTAACACAATACTGGGTAAGAAAGGTAACTGAGTGATCCATCTGTCTATGGCATTTATGGTAAGGATAATATGAACTAAGTTCTTTCTTTCATTGTTTTTACTTTTGGATTTATTTATATGGTTCTTTGGTTTGGTTTGGTTTGGTCTGGTTTGGTGTGTTTGTTTGTTTGTTTTTGGTCAACGTTCTTATTATAGGGGCTTAGGATGGGAGTTTTTTCTGTTTGGTGTGGGTGTGAGGGGAGGGGTGGAGGGGGGAGAGGGGGAGAGAGGGGGATTTGTGGCTGGGGTATTGGGTATATGGGGTGATGCGTGTTGCTGGGGAGTTGTTGGGGTTGGGATTTGGATTTGGATTTGGATTTGGATTTGGATTTGAGTAGGGAGGAGGATTGGGGTGATGCGTGTTGTTGGAGAGTTGTTGGGATGGGGAGGGAGAGGGGTGATTGACGACGGAGATGGTGATGGTGATGGTGATGGTGATGATCTTTTCTTCTTCTTGTTGTTGTTGTGTGTGTGCACTGTGTGATGGATGTGTGGATGGGGAAAGTGAGGTAGGTGTGTAAGTTGTGTAAGTTGCGATTGTGTAAGGTGTAAGCGCTTGGGTTGATTCTGAGATGCTGAGTGGGACTGACTGACTGACTGAGTGAGTGTTGTGAAGATGTTTGATGTTTGATGGCGGATGTTTGAGATTTGAGATTTGAGATTTGGGTTTGGGGTTGGGTTTGATGGTGTGGGAATTTGGAAATGTTTCGGGGGGGGGGGTGGGAGGGAAGGAGGTGGATAGAGAGATAAGAAATAAGAGAGGGAGGGATGAGGGATGAGGAAAGATGTTAGGAGGGAAGATGGATGGTACGTTTGGGGTTTGAGGTTTGTGGGGAGGGAGGGAGTGGTGACTCGTGAGGAATTGGAGGGTGGTGAGGGTATGTGTGTTGAGGATTCGGGACCGAGGGGGAGGGGTTGGAAAGGTTGTGTTATGGTGGGTGAGTGTGTGGGTGATGAGATTTGTAGAGATTCTCAAGGCGGAGGGAAGGGATACGGATGTGAGAGAGGGGTGCAATGGAGGAAAGGTTAGGGGAAAGAATGGAATTGGAATACCTATGTATAGGTACTAGGTTGCAAGATACATCTTGAAACTCTCATGCCTTTTTCTCTCCCGGTGCGAATGCTGTGTCTCTGTATGTATGTATCTAGAGTCGGCGCTTTTTATTATAATTTCTTGATAGGAGATACTGGTACTCTTTATGGGTTTGTAATCATACATGCACGAAGTCGATGTAAAATTCATAGCTAGCTACCTAGCTAGTTTTAACCTAAGCTCGGCACTGAATGCCGGATACTGTACGAGTATGTGTATATGGGTTTCTGGTACTTCATCAATAGGTATCAAACGGGAATTTTACCGATTCTTCGCGTTTTGATTCTTGGGGTTTACAGAGGTGTGAGTGTGAGTTTGAGATGGTGATGGTGACGTGGGCTGATTTTGATGTACTATGTATGGTGTGTACTACGAATCGGTTTACGTGGAGATATGTGTGAAGCGGAGTGGGTGTAGGAAGAGATTTGTCGAGATGCTTGGGATTGGAGGGGTATGTGTGGCAGGGTGGATTTGTCTTTGGAGTGGTTTTTGTTTGTGTTCTTTGTGTTGCGTAGGTAGGGTAGGGGATCGACGGAAGGATGGTCGATGAGGGGGAGTTCTCGGTACGGATTGCTGAGTGGTATCTGTCTATCTATCTATCTATCTATAGATCGTATAGATACCTAGTCGAGCGATTACTGAGAATATTCTCATTGCAGCCGATCATTGAAGATACATATTGATTGACCGATTCAAGGGATTTTTCTTGGGGGTCAGAGATGGCGTAATGCAAATGGAAATGTGAGCTGATGGGAGAAGAAATAGTGTAGCAAGGCTGGGGGGATCATACAATTGGTGTTGGGATATCGCACGCTGTTATAGGTATTTGTATCTGATTAATTGGTATCATCATCATGCGCGCCGTTGCCAATGTTGAATACTTTGATATTTGGTTATCCACAGGGCGCAAATAAGCTTTGAGGAGACTCGAATGGTAGGTACCCCTTCATCATCAGCTACACTTGCCAGCCACACTCCTGGTGCTCCCATATTCAAACTCACAAATTCGATAGGACAAGGCTTGCCGCCGCCAATTTTTCTTCTTGTTAATTCTCTGAGCCTCAAAAGTGCATCAAACATCTTGGATATTTTAAGGGTGGTCGTTGTACGATCATGTCAGATGTATGTATATTCTGATTGGCTACTGATGATGGCTTAGATGATTCTGGTTTCAGTTTTTCGCAATGCATGCTAGGCTCGCACGCTCGTGCAACGCTCTGGGCAGGTTTCGGGCGGGGATTTCTGGAACGAAGATAGGATTAGGAGGCTTGGAGGTTACACTTGGGAGCCCTGGAGGTTTCGCAAACGGGGTTGTAACTTGTGTATGGGATGGTGAGAGGTGTGGCGAGTGGGATTTGGGTGGTTTCCATTGTAGGGGGTCTGTTTTCGTGAGGGTGAGATAGGATACCTATGACTTATCATGAGATGAGATTAAAATTCAACACCAGAATAACACAGCAACATTCTCGTAATCCTTAATACCGTCAGTTAATTGGTCAACCCAAGCAATAACCGAGTGAACGCGTGAACGGGTGAACTTCGTATCCTTGATGTATAGGATAATAATAACTGTTGCTCAGATTCGCGCTTATTAAGGTTATCCGTAACCAATTTAGAACCCCATATCAAACAGACCAACCACGGCCCCTCTGAACCCATGTAACATCAATCCCCAATCCTCCCGTCGACCATTTTCTCTCCCACGTACCTTTCGGCAATCCTGCTCGAAGAATTTTCATCTCTCACACGTCCAAAAAGCTGATGCGACTAGTCCTTAAACTCCCTAGTCAACGATGGCCACCACCATCACTGTTTCGAAGCCCCTCTCTCTGACCACCCATTGCAACTCAGAGACGCTGGTTTCTCGACTCTCGAGCCCATGAGACTGGATTTGTTCTATACGTTATGCTCAGACACTTCCATACGAATCTAATTGTCAGGCCATCACATCCTGTTCCCCATGCATAAACGTGATGTTCTGACTGTTTTGTGACCTTACCTTCCTCCCTCCTTCTGCTTGGCAGAAAGTTTCCTCGTTTCTTCCTCTCTGCTCTGAACACCTCTTCTCTTGGATTTCTCTTGTCTTTTCTTTTCGGGATCTCTGCAAAGTGAAGTCATACAACTTTCGATATTAATTCGCTGATTTTGGGACAGCCATCGGTGCAGGCATTGATTACAGGTACGTTTTGAATTTGGACGCCGAGTGTCTTGTTGATTGTTGTATTACTTCTCTGGCAATAATGTCGCAAGTTGGAATGAACTCAGTTACTGACAGTTTTTGGGGGGGGTTTTCAATAGGCTTTTATCGTTTTTACGTTCATTCAAATAATTTTCTTTCGTTTTTACGATTACTTTCTTTTGGGAACTTCTGTCCATTCAGCAGGTCCTGAATCATATTACCCTTTAATACTACCACGATACCCACGTATAATTTGGACGAGAAGGAAGTCGGAAGAAATTTTCTATATAAAAAAAAAACCTTCAAAAATTACGATTCTAGGTCGCAAAGTTTAAGATGTCTGAAAAGGCTTATGATAGAATGAGTACGGGATCGGTGAGGGTTTCGGAGAGATCAAGATGGCCACCATTGACGAGAATGTTGATGTCTGGTGAGATGACGGCGGAAATGCCGAGGGAATTGACGATGAGGGAGAAATTCGACAGATGGATGGTTAACGAGGGATATCGACGATTGTAGGTTGTGGCTAGGATCATGGGAAGCATCGAGTTACTAACATCATTTCAGTTTCGTCTTCGTTTTCGCTTTACTCCATGTCATGGTTTTCACATTCGGTTTCTTGAATTATCAGCTCAAGGATAGTTTTGGTATTGCTCGAAGCACATTTACCGTCACCTATGCGATTGCTAGATCCGCCGCTCTGACGCTACATTTCGATGTTGCTATGATTTTGTTTCCGGTTTGTCGTACTTTGATCTCTTTGGCACGTCAAACTCCTTTGAATGGCATTGTACAATTCGATAAGAATATTACTTTCCATATGCTTACAGCTTGGTCTATTGTATTCTTCTCTTGGGTACACACTATTGCGCATTGGAACAACTTTGCTCAAATTTCAGCAAAGAATAATCTCGGCATTGGTGGTTTCCTCCTTGCCAACTTTGTTAGTGGACCTGGATGGACTGGATATGTTATGTTGGTCGCTCTTATGGCCATGGCTATTACTTCATACGAAAAGTATCGTCGGGCAAACTTTGAACGTTTCTGGTATACCCATCACTTTTTCGTCATCTTCTTTGTATTCTGGTCCGTCCACGGAGCTTTCTGCATGATTCAACCAGATACCGCGCCTTACTGTGTTAGTGTTGGTACATCGGCTATTGGTGTCTTCTGGCAATACTGGATGTATGGTGGTTATATTTACCTCGCTGAACGTATTGCACGTGAAATCCGCGGGAAGCATAAGACCTATGTTTCGAAGGTTGTTCAACATCCTTCCAACGTTTGCGAAATTCAGATCAAGAAAGAGAATACAAAGACAAGAGCTGGTCAATATATCTTCTTCTGTTGTCCCGAGGTCTCGATTTATCAATACCATCCTTTCACTCTCACATCGGCTCCCGAAGAAGATTATATTTCCATTCATATTAGAATGGTAGGAGATTTTACTAGAGCTGTTGGCAAAGCCCTTGGGTGTGAATTCGATAAGCCAAAGGATGGAAAGGGAGGATCTCAAGTTGTTGGTGTTAATCAAGGCTCACCAGGATCTGATGGAGCTGATTCGGCTATTCGTCGCATCTTACCCCGTGTCTATGTCGATGGTCCATTCGGTTCGGCCTCTGAGGATGTTTTTAAATTCGAAGTCGCTATGCTTTGTGGTGCCGGTATTGGTGTTACTCCTTTCGCCTCGATTCTCAAATCCATCTGGTACCGCATGAACTATCCTCAAAAGAAGACGCGTCTCGGAAAAGTCTATTTCTTCTGGATTTGTCGTGACTTCGGTTCTTTCGAATGGTTCCGTTCTCTTTTATTGGCAATCGAAGCTCAGGATATGGATAACAGGATTGAGATTCATACGTATTTGACGGCTAAGATTAAGGTGGAT